GAGGTGATCAAAGGGGGGTGGTTGCCCCATCAAGTGGCCGCCTCTCGACCAATCGATTGCCCCCGGTGTTGGGCCACGCACTACTGCCGCCGTAAGCCCACGCACCCAGGCCACCCCTGCCGCCGCGCTAGTCCGTATCCGGTCGAATGAGATCATGCCCAGTATTTCCACGACGCGTCAACACCTGAGGTTGGCCGTTCCCCCATCCAGCCCGCAGCAATCAGGCCATCCAGCGGCTGTTCCCCCCTACGCCTGGTCTTCATCTTCACGTCTCCTTCGTCACGGCCGCCTTTTCTTCTACGATTTCCTTCCTTCATTTCGGTTTCGGGGGCTGGCAATGCGTTCATGATTGATGACTGTTCCTGCTTATCACTATACCAACTCCGTGCCTACATACTGCCCGCCACCTCCACCGCGTGCAGCCATCACCTGATATCAACACTGTCAGACGAACTATCTCACTGCCCATCGCCTTCAATCATCCTACTTGCTCCATAACAACAACAAAGCATCGTGATCCTTTTCGCATTCATTGTTGTGGTCACTATTCCTTTGTACTTGATAGTCAAGTCACCTTCTCCCAGCCTGTGTCGTCACCTGCTGCTCCCGAGTCTCGCGCAGCATCGTGAGGCTGTCCTTCACAGGCGGTGTTTTGGGAATGATTTCGCATCGGGATTAAGAGTGGTCTTCAGAAGGAGGTCTGGGATTCTCTGCTTTTTTTCTAGTTTATAGGTGGTTTGGGTCCTACATCCCGCCTTTACGGTCAACCCCTTCTTTCGGCGGTATTCTCACCTTACCGAATTGCCGCCTAACACAAGGACAGAATGGCCTCAGTGCGCGGAGAGATTGCAGGAGCCGGGTTGCAGGCCAGCAGGAATGGCGAAGCAAGGTCACAGGAAGCCAGCACAAGACCACTGACGGCATCCCCTGTTCCGCAAGAGAGATCTGAAGGTGAGTTGATTTCCGCTTTTTCGCCCTAATCGACTTGTAACCGCTGCCACAATCCTTGAACCCACCATCCTGGCCAGGAACGCCTTGCATACCGTTACACTCTCAATCCGCTTGCATATCAGCGCTTGAGCCTCCTGAA